TAAAAATATGTTTTGCGGAGGGGTGGGTGGAGGGGCAGTAGGGTGGGTGGTAACGGAAAAACTGAAATTTGAAAAAAAAAAAGAACTTTTTTGGAGAGAGGGGGTGGGGTGGGTTGGTGAGGGTGGGGAAGGTTGAGAAGGAGTTTTGAAAAATGTTTTTCCTTCTCTTGATGAGGAAAACATTTTCCTCCGATTGGAGGAAAATGAGTTCATAAGGAAAATGTTTTCCAAAACTTTTGAGCCAACCAAACATGGAAAAATTGGAAAACATTTTCCGGAAAATATTTTCCTTCATACCAAACACACCCTACATCTAAGTCTAATCAAATTACAAAACTATACAACAAATCAAAATAAAATCATTTCGTGTCAAGTCAAATACTGTCATACAAAATGGGATGCGGTGGTACAAACTATACTTCTATTAATCATTCAAACTTAGATTTAAACCTTTTCACATTTGAGAGTATTATTTAATACACTTTCTATCAAAATCAGTAAAATAATCTCATCGATCAGTTCACTCTTAGTAACCTTGCAGATCAAACCAAATCAATGAAATGGAGGGAATAGTATGTTAACAAGAACTTTGGCATGAACAACTAGTGCTTAAATGAAAAACAGACCGTAGCACCTACTGCTGTGGCTTCGGCTGACCATACTAAGTGCTGACATCTACTGTCTTATTCCAATTCTCTCCGAAGGCATTTACTATTTTGGTGTACAAAAAGACACGGGAACTTCCGAAGATACCTTTTAGTTTCGATGTTATTATTAATTTAGCAGATAAGTGTTGAATGGTTTCTTTCATCACTAATCTTCATTTAATCTTTTAATAAAAAGGACAGCCCGATACACTAAACTCCCGTTATGCACAAGGTTCAGGGAAGTGCCAGATCACATTAGATCTAATGGTAGCAATCTTACCTCATATTTCAGTAAGAGGTTGTTTCCACGGTGCTTACTTTGGAATTCTTTAAGAAAAATGAAAATAAAAATAAGACCTTCGGAACTCTTTTCTTTATTAACATATTCATGTTGCTTTTTGAAAAATAGACAAATTGCATTTGGAGGGGCATCATCAAGTACAATTTAAATCCTAATAAAGGTGAAGTGCTCCCTAACTTCTAGAAATAAACATATTGCAAACATACAGGGACAGTAAAATTACCTGAGGTGGTGCAGCACAAAGCAAATAGAAGCAGTGATAATTTCTCTCAGGATCAGAAACTTGACAAACACGTGATCGTTCCAGCAGATATGTTCTGATAGCAGCACCGGATATCCTCCCTCTTTTATCAAACTGGAGCTCCACAAATTTACCAAAACGACTGCCAAAATACGTGGTGCAGCAAAATTCATGAGTTAAACAGAATGTATAATACGATGAGGAAAAGGCATCTGAAATTTTGAGTTTCCTCACCTTGAATTGTTGTTTCTGACTGTCTTAGCATTACCGAAGGCTTCTAAAACCGGATTTGACTGAAAAAAGCAAAAGTAAATATGTACATAGATCAGGAAATGTTTTGAAGTATAGTTGATCAATTGATTGATCCAGAAATATTTTGAACAGATTTTGTAAAGTCAACTTGGCAAGAAAGTGGCTATCTCACGATTCCCATAACCGAATAAATCGAACAACGGAGAAAATCTACCTAAGTATCATACCTCAAGGACTTGCTGCTCCACGCTCCTTCCCTCAGCTGCCGCTCGTCCTCCCATATATGCAAGATATTGCATAAGCATTTTTGTGCTTTCTGTCTTGCCCGCTCCACTCTCTCCACTCACCAAAATTGACTGGCTTATCCCCTCATTAATCATCAGCCTGAATTCAGAAGCACAATGTTAAAGATTATATAGAAGTTAATACTTTGACAGCTACCCGAAAAAACATGAATCTTGCCTGTAAGCAGCATCAGCAATAGCAAAAGGATGAGGGGGCAGCTCCCCAAGTGCAATGCCTTTGTACTGTTCCATCACACTTTTATCATATAAATGGGGTAACCGCTTGAAGGGGTTCACGGCAATCAATATGCTCCCAGTGTAAGTCTGAATGCACCGAATCACATGTTAGCTTTCTCAACCAGTTTATTCAAGACATGACAAAGAAAAGAAAACATAAGGGGTTGTTTGGTTGAACGGATTAGCAAAAATAATCCTGACATAAAATAATGCAGTGTTTGCTTGGATGGATTAGAAAATATATTTCCGCATTAAGGCCACATTTGGTTGGAAATATTATCCCTGCATAACTGGTGTTATGTTTGGTTGACGGTATTAAATAAAACTTGCATTAAGTTATACTAGGAAACTTACTTTTTTTTTATGTGTAATACTACATTATTATTCACTGTACATAATTCATATCATTATTATTCATTGGATTATAGTCCCCACATAGCCATGGACCAAACCAAACCACCCCTTAATGCCTAAAAATCATCAAGAAAAGAAACAGATAGTATATATCTGATTAAAAAAATGCATAACAATTGTCCTGAAATCCCTTACATAAATTTCATTCATGTCATATCGACTTCTCAAATTCTGCAAAACTCCTGGTTCATGCAGATAAGAAAGTTTTGTCATATCATCCACGCCACAAGAAGGCGCATCAGTATCTTTTGCGTACACATGGGATAGATTGGTTGCAACCTACAAAGGAAATTCAGGGAGATTTATCAGACAACACATTCAGAGATACCGGGAAAATAGAATGATGTAATCCTGTCAATCTGTTTTCCAAAAAGTGACAGTCTACAGAGCTAGCTAGCAGCATGCTGCAAACACTAAAGATGGATACTATTGCGCTTTATGATCATTGTTATATTCAAACCAAAACTAATTTTAGCTCATAAAGACTAATTTTCAAAATTTGCCGAAGAGCACTCTGCTCAGAGACCATAGTAAGCTAAACAAACAACATGGTAAACAGACCTTTACTCAGTATAACCATATCTAAGCTTATCAATAATACTGCCTGCCACGATCAGATTTTTATCCTCTGAGATCAAAATTGACTGAAATCAGTAGTTTATGCTCTGGAATATCAAATCCCATGATGCTATTTATTCTCCCAAGAAAAGAAAAGAGGAACTTAAAAGTGAAGATGAAGATTCAACAGATTATTTAGACAATTACAAGAGGACAATACAAGTCAAAACACCAAGGCATCTGCTCATTACCAGAGCGGGCAATACTAGCAAGTTAAAGAATTTCTAGTTCACCAACTTTCACAACTATCTAGAAGAATGTATGCAGGAAGCAACAAGTCATAATATCATTCAAGCATTTGCCACGGGCACCAAGGATGTGGATCAAACATAATACAGCAAAAGCAGATATTAAAGCTTAAAAGACAGAGAAAATTTTACTTTAAATGATGTAAACAATAGAACTGTGTACAAGGTGTATGTTAATGTAAAACTTACTGTCTTCCCTGACGTGCAGTTAACTGTGATCTCTTCACCATTGACTTCAGCAACTACCCCATCTATCCAAGCTACCTCAGGATCCTCAACCCATACATGAGATCCAACCACAACACTGGCGGAAACACTCTGCACAACATTTGAATTTTCAAAGTCTCAGTCACAGCACTAAAACATTTTGTACCTTAAAAACCACTATGCACATAGAAGGTTTGTTCTATACACCAGAGAGGAGATACAATAAGCAAAAAAGAACCGAAGAACATGACATAAAATCAGAAGAGAAAAGGAGAATAAGAGACGACAGATATACTACACATGGAATCTATATTTGTCTACATATCTTACTCTTGAATATGCCATTGACACTCAGTAACATATGCTGATGATTTAGAAGCTGAAAGGCGAAGCAAACATTAAGGCGTGTCTAACGGAATCTCGTTTATAGAGTTTAGTTATTAGGCCTAGAGAAATAATACTTTGAAGTGACTAAAGCTAGCTATGCAAATTTTTATCTTGACAGGGAGAATAGAACACTGGCTAATACTTTAACAGAGATGGGGCCACCCAAACACACAAATTTACTTCTATTTAGTTTCCAAATAGAAGCTTCAGACAGGGAAACCTGCTTCAATCTTGTGAAGAAGATATGGACATTAGGCCTAACTCAACCCCAAAAACCAATATGAGAGTCTAACCGACTCTAACACCCCCTCGCACGCCCAGACCTCCAACTGGAGCATGGACAATATAACACGAGAGCCCAAACGGGAACACACCTGGCTGGCTCTGATAGCATGTGAAGAAGATATGGACCTTGAGACTAACTCAACCCCAAAATCTAGCTCATGAATGAAGATTGCCCAAGTCCATGTAAGGAGACCACCAGCACATTCCCCAACCAATGTGGGACTTAACCCATTCTAACAAATCTCAAGAACCTCTAACTTGGAGGTGCAGTATGCAACACTTGACAGTTGAAAGTGATCTTTAAAAAATAAGTTCTTCTTGGAGCGATGAAAGTTGGCTTGCTTATTTTGAAGATATGGACTTTGGTCCTAACTCAACCCCAAAAGCTAGCTCATGCGAGTAAGATTTCCCAAGTCCATATAAGGAGACCACTAGGCACCAGCCCAATCCCCAACCGATGTGGGACTCTAACCCACTCTAACACTTATGCACTCCTTAGCCAATCGACAAGATGGATAAGGCCAGTTTATAATATACTGACCGTCATGGGGAAAGCAATTTAACTGCCACTCTCTTATCAAAGAAAATACAGCTTTTCTGAACCTACTGAAAAATATGATATTTTTCCTTTCTCTGAAACAAACTTTGTGATCATTTCATCCAAAAGCTTAAGTTGTAGCACGTGCAAATTCTCTCTGATGATTATGGGTGGAGGTGAGAATTGAACCTAAGACCTCTGTCTGATACCATGTTGAATTATGTGATCATCTCATCTAAAAGTCTAAAGTCGTAAAATAGAATATACATTTATGGACTTAATTATATCTGAACAATTTATCACCAAGAAGCAATTATAATAACCCTTCATTAGAACAGTATAGTTTAGCTAAAACAAATACGCCACCTTTCTCATGCAATTGAAAACATAATAACCCAGCTGTCAACTACTTGAAGAAAATAACAAAAACTTAAGCAAAAGCCAACATGCAAACTAAGAAAATTCTTCAGAAAAAAGCAAGAAAGCCATACCATTTCTCAACAAACACAATGGAGATCAATCAAGACTCCAATTTTTCCCTTCAAATCCACAACCTCATAAAAGCCAATGATATTTTTCTCCTACAATTACCCACAATGCGGCTCATTATGCATGCAAATGTGCACCCAAAAATTGCCTTTAAAGGCGTGGCCTTTGGTCTCTCATTCTTTTCTAGCTTCACCACAATGTGTAATGCAAATTCAGGAAAATGAGATGGAAAATAAAGAGAAGAATTGAAGGGAAAGGGTTTAGAAATGAAAATGGGAAAGAAAAATGTAATTGGAGTATATAATAATAAGGGGTATATATATTATGAAATCAATATCCCTATTTTTCTTTTCTTTTCTTTTTTCTTCCTCAATATATGGAGATGATGAATGAAAAGGAAAGAAAAATAGCCCCCTTTGCAATTCCCTTTTCCTTTCCTTTCCTCTGGAAAAAAAAAATTGTTCAGAATGCCAATGTTTGTTCTACACTTCTATTATGTTTTGTTTGAGGTTTCTTGGTTGGTTATTTTCACGTCAAATGCAGAGAGAATCCACAACATGAATGTGTCTTAAGGAGAGATGAATATTTAACTTCCCATAATGCCCTTTTGTTTCGTCGTATTTGCATAATTGTCATCAGCTTGAGATTTTATAGTTACGTGGTTTGTCTTGGAACTTAACTACCTCCGTGGTTTTGCCATTTCTTTAATATTAATATTAATATATTATATTATATTATATATTTAATATTTAATATTATATGTACAACAATAATATATCCACTGAAATTCTATGGTGAAATTTAGGTAGGATAGTGTCTACGCAGACTTTACCCCTACCTTGAGAGGGTAGCGAGATTATAATAACTGATAGACCTTTAGTAATATTATATGCACTAGCATTATTAAAATAAATAATCATAGAAAATTAAAGTTTTATTTGTTTCAACAATTTACTATTGTCATTTTGCTTCTTAATGCAAGGTACCAAAAAATAATTTATCAAAATAAAGGAAATAAATCATGTGATCAGTGAGCAACATTTGAATGGCACAAAATATCATAATTATATAGCTTGTAATACAAATAACTTGAATAACATGATTCAAAAAAATTATTATATATAATAATTAAATACAAAATATATTTAATAACGTCTTAAATTACCTATTATTCACTTCATTGTTAGGTTTCTTAACATCTCAATGATGTTAAACCTTTAAATATTTTAAATTTACATAAAATATTTAATATAAATAACTATTGAACATATAAATTTCCATAACCTTAAAATATGAATGTTGGATTTATATAATGAGTGTTTTAATAGAAAGTGTTCCAATTAATTATATCCAAAAACATAAGTGAATAATAATCCAATGTCTTGTATGTGACCAATTTTTTGTTGATTTATTTTGTCTTATTATTTGTTATCCTGATTCTTCGTCAATATCACTGTCGTAAATTCTAATTATACCACGAATCTTGCTTGTCTCCAGAGATGTCACGGAGAAATACTAAAATTTGACTATTCGCTGAACTATCGAAGAACAGACTATTGATCTTAGTTTAGTTAATATTCTAGTTCTACTTTTATTTTCACTCAAAAAGTCAAAAAGAAATTTACAAATACAATTATGATAGCTTACCAATGCATACCACTAAGAACTTTGTTACATTAACTTGAGATCAATCATTTCACTTGTAAGTGTAACGAACTAAAACTGGTTAACTGGAATGGAGGATTTACCTCATTCATAACATTTGTAACATGCCAATTTGAAAAAAGAAAATAAAAGCTATCATTATACAAAAGAATTTACACCAAAGTTGTTGGCAATGAAGATTCTAAGGTGACCGACCCAGGTTAATGGCGGGTAGGGTTCTCTCACAATCTCTCTTATGTCTTATGGGCCTTTACACAAATGCGTTGGTCACGAGGGTAGCTGATAAGTGGAGCTCAAGAATTAACACATGGCAGCATCGGAGCCGTTGATCCCTTTTAATCCTAACCGTCAAATACAGCTATACTCCACTAACATAATTTTGTACACATGCAAAGTTAGTTAGGTAGTTTGTACAATGTATATAAATACATGTAGACCTTGTACAATTGGCAGTTAAGAAAAAATAACAAATCAGATATTTTCATCTCACAAATGTGTAGAAGCTTCTAATGAATTTTCTCATGGTATTAGAGCTTAGAACTCTCAATGCAGATTTGCTTTGATTTTTTTTAAACAACATTTCTCAAAATTTTCTGGATTTACTATCCAGTTTCATCTAAATTCGCTGGATTCTACTCCAATTTCTACGCCTTCGTCTGTGACGAATCCTAATTTGCTGGATTCTGCAGCAATTTCTACATCGTCAGCTTTGATTTCTGATTCTGAATCTGAAACTGTGACTGGAATGGAGAAGATTGATTGTGATCATCCATACTACTTGTATGCTTCTGATTCTCCTGGTATGGTACTTGTCTCTCCTCCATTTGATGGATCTGGATATGGAGGATGGAGAAAATCGGTGCTAATTGCATTTTCAGCAAAAAATAAGTTGGGTTTCATTAATGAAACCTTACCTAGACCCAAAGATGGAGCGCCAGATCTTAAATCCTGGATTAGATGCAACGACATGGTCTTCGCATGGTTGCTTAATCCACTAACAGTTGAAATTAGGTCAAGTGTGATTCATTCTAAATCAGTAAGGATTTTATGGAAACAACTTGAGGACAGGTATGGTCAATCCAATCTGGCACAATCATTTGAATTACAAAAAAATTGTTAAAAACTGTCCAAGGATCGAGTAGCATTGCAACATATTTTAACAAAATGAAAGCTATATGGGATGAGATAGAACTCATTGACTCTAGGGAGATATGCACTTGTGTGGATTGTAAATGTGGTTCATTTGAGAAGAATCATGCTATTGAAGAAAGACAAAAATTGGTTCAGTTTCTATTGGGATTGAACGAGACATATACTGAAATTAGAGGAAACATAATGATGATGCAGCCTTCCCCTACTATTGACAGAGCATGTTACTTACTTCTACAAGAAGAAAGACAGAGGAGTATACAAAGTATTGCCCAGTACCCTAGTGAATCTAGCTCTTTTGCTATATACCCGGGCAACATTTTGGTCAAGGCAGGCAGAAGCCTAAATGCAGGAAATGGACCTAATTCATACAAAAACAATCAGGAATATATAAAGAATCTTTTCTGCAACTACTGCAAGAAACCAGAGCATACTATTGAGAGATGTTTCAAGCTTCATGGATATCCACAAAATACTAAAAATCCTGGTAACAGAAAGACCAAATATTACTCTTCAGATTAAGGAAATGTAGTGTTTTCAGAAGAGAATCCAGGGCAGATGCACACAAATGAGAATGAAGCCACAATTGGAATTACTCAACATCAGCTTGCTCAATTAATGTAAATGCTTCAACAAGTTAAAGTTGGTCAGAACAACGCATCATCTTTTGACACTCATGCCACTGGCAATCGTGCTGGTACCTTTCTGTCTCACTCTACTCCCTTTCCTAAGCCTACCAAGATTCATTTTTGGATCAGTTGATTCTGGGGCATCTGAACACATGAGTTTTGATCTCACCATTATGACTAGTGTGAAACTTTTGGCTAGACCTATCAATGTAACTCTACCTAATTCTCAAAGAGTTAAGGTCAAACATGCAAGACAAGTCACTGTCCATCCTCAATTAACTCTAGAAACATTCCTATTTGCACCGGATTTTTAGTTCAACTTAATTTCTGTACATAAACTTTGCAAACAATTTTAGTTCATTCTTACCTTCAGTGATTCTTCCTGTTTCTTGCAGGGCCTTTTCTTGAGGAGGCCTATAGTTCTTGGTAAAATCCTGGCTTGATTGTATCTTCTTCATTCCACTTATCAGCTTGCTGAGTCTCTTGATTCCCTGCAAACACATAATAAGAATTTAGTTTCTCCATTTGTTTCTAATCAAAAAACTGCTAAATTTGCTACTTTACCCTCAGTATTTAGTTCCACTGTTTCTATGTCTAGTTCTACTGCTTCTTGTACAAATTTATGGCACATTACATTTGGGCATTTGCCACCATCTAGTATGAAACATATTCCTGGTTGTATGCAACATAGCTCTAGTATGAATGATTTGCCTTGTACTATATGCCCTATGGCTAGACAACATAAATTGCGTTTTCCACTTAGCACTACTTCTTCATCACATGCTTTTGAATTGATTCACATAGATACCTGGGTCCCTATAAGACTTCCACTCATGATGGTTTTAAGTACTTCCTTGCAATAGTGGATGACTATAGTAGGGGTACTTGGACTTACTTATTGAGTACTAAAAGCAATGCCTTCACTGTTCTACAATCTTTCATTTCTACAGTTGAGACTCAATTTAACACCAAAATCAAAAAGATTAGACCGGACAGTGCTTTTGAACTAGGATGTAGTAATGCTGCCACTGTTTATCTTCTTTCAAAAGGCATCATTCATCAGGCCTCATGTGCTGCTACCCTCAACAAAATGGGGTTGTTGAGAGGAAACACAAACACCTTTTGGAAACATGTAGAGCTTTGCTATTTCAATCCAAAGTCTCTCTTTGTTATTGGGGTGAATGCTTGTTGACTACTACCTATCTCATAAACAGGTTCCCTACTAAACTTCTTGCTTACAAAACCCCTTATGAGGTTCTGGTTCACAAGGCTCCTGATTATAACTTCCTTCGAAGTTTTGGATGCCTATGCTTTGTTTCTATTTTATCCCACCATAGAGGAAAGCTTGATCCTAGGGCTGATGCTTGCATATTTCTGGGTTATCCTTATGGTAAAAAGGGTTATAAGCTACTCAATATCCAGACACACAAAATATTTGTGTCCAGAAATGTTGTTTTCCATGAAATTATCTTCCCTTTTTCTATTCTACAGGATGAGCCCCTACCTCTATTTCCTACTCATCTCTCTTCTTGTGATCCCATTCTTGTTTCTCCATCTAATGTCTCTGCTTCTACACCTATTCCCCGTTCCCCTTCTCCTGGCTCTCCTTCTTTCCCTATTGACTCTACTAACTCTCCTTCTCCTGCATCCTACTTGTCCTCTCCTAGTTCTTACTTTTCATCCCCTCCTACTTCTTCTTCCCCTACTTTATCTCCTTCTAATCAGAAACTACTGAGCTCTTTGCCTCAAATCCATGAGCCTACTTCCTACTCTGAGGCAGCCGTACACCCTGGTTGGCAGGAAGCTATGAGTAAGGAAATTGATGCACTATTAGCCAATGAGACTTAGGAGGTTGTCCCATTACCTGTTGGGAGGAAGGCTATCCCTTGCAAATGGGTTTATAAGGTGAAGTTAAGGTCTGATGGGAGTGTTGAGAGGTTGAAAGCTAGGCTTGTTATTAGAGGTGATGCACAACGAGAAGGTATTGATTTTACGGAGACTTTTTCTCCTGTGTCAAGATGACCACTATTAGATGTATTTTAGTAGTGGCCGTTAAGAAAGGCTGGGGTTTGTACCAATTGGATGTCAATGATACGTTTCTACATGGTGATTTGCATGAGGAAGTTTATATGAAGTTCCCTGCCGGCATTTCTCCTCCTGCTCCTAATTTGGTTTGTCGTTTAAAGAAATCCCTATATGGTTTTCGTCAAGCCTCGAGGCAATGGTATACTCGCCTTACCGCAACTCTTAATTTCAAGGGTTTCAGTCATTCTTTGAATGACTACTCTCTTTTTTATAAGAAGTCTGAGGATTCTATTTTATTAGTGGCTGTGTATGTTGATGATATACTTCTTACGGGCAACAATGTGGCAGAATTGGATGATTTAAAATCATTCTTAGATGTTGAATTTAAAATCAAAGACCTAGGGCACTTATCTTATTTTCTGGGGATGGAAGTTCTTCGTGAATCTTCTGGAATCATCTTGACTCAACGCAAATTTGCTCTTGAACTGCTTTCTGAGTTTGACTACTTTGGCCTGACCACTGCTTCCTCTCCTCTGGATCCTTCTATTAAGCTGCATGCTGATGATGGTACTCTGCTTCCTGACCATACTGTGTATTGTCGTCTTTTGGGTAAATAGAATTTTTTGACCCATACACATTCAGATTTGAGTATTGCCGTCCAGCACTTGAGTCAATTCATGCAGGCCCCGCGTGACTCTCATTTCCCTGTTGCTCTACATTGTCTCTGTTATTTGTTACTTGACCCAGGCATGGGCCTTTTTATGTCTGCTGCTCCATCATTTGATTTATTGGCCTTTTGAGACTTTGATTGGGGCTCTTGCCCGGACTCTCGTCGTTCTATTAGTGGGTTCTTCATCAGCCTTGGTGGTTGCCCCGTTTCTTGGAAATCTAAGAAGCAACTATCTGTCTCTCTTTCATCCGTCGAACCTGAATACATATCTATGCAAAGAGTGGTCGCTGAGCTCACTTGGCTTGTTCGTCTCCTTGATGACCTTTCTATTCCGCTAACCTTGCCTATTCCTCTTCACTCTAATAGTCAGGCAGCGATTCATATCACCAAAAATCCGGTCTTTCATGAACGCACGAAGCATGTGGAACTTGATTTCCACTTCATGCGTCAACAATTTCAGGCTAGTTTGATTTCTTTAACTTTTGTTCCGTCGCACTCACAACTTGCTGACGTCTTCACCAAACCCCTCTCTGGTCCGCTTCATCGCTCATTGTTAGGCAAGCTGGGGGTTCAATCTTCACCCTCCACCTTGAGGGGGGGTGTTGGCGATGAAGATTCTAAGGTGGCCGACCCAGGTTAATGGCGGCTAGGGTTCTCTCACAATCTCTCTTATGTATTATGGGGCCTTTACACAAATGCGTTGGTCACAAGGGTAGCTGATAAGTGGACTCAAGAATTAACACGTGGCAGCATCAGAGCCGTTGATCCCTTTTAATACTAACCATCAAATACAGTTGTACTCCACTAACATAATTTTGTATACATGCTAAGTTAGTTAGGTAGTTTGTACAATGTATATAAATACATGTAGACCTTGTACAGTTGGCAGTTGAGAGAAAATAACATATCAGACATTTTCATCTCACAAATGTGTAGAAGCTTCTAACGAATTTTCTTAAAAGTTAATAATTTAAATAGTAAAACAAATATTTCTGCTATGAAAATCATCACATAATAATCGATCAACGGGTGGGAAATAAGATTGCAGTGAGAAAACTTTTTTTTTTATAAAATTGAATTAGCCAAAATTGAATAAAATAATCAAGCACGTTATCACATTTTTTGTACCAAACAATCAAAAGTGAATTATTAACGTATTTGAAATAAACTAAAGTGAAGGAATAAATAAAAATGTCACATTTGTCATTTGGTTACAGAAGCAAGGGTATTTTCGGGTCATAGCCCCGAAGGCCATAACGATCGTCCTCTTTACCGCCGAAACGGGTGACAGAGGAACTCCTCCCCGTTACAAGGGAAAATAGTGGGGCCTACCCTCAAAGATCTAATGGTTGACAATTGCGCTCAATCGGGTGATCGACCAACCTGATTAGTTACCCTTTTGTACAGATTTGCTTAAGCATAACATCTCGAACCTACCTCTTGGCAATAATTTTTTTTATATTCGTCGTGGCCGGGACAACTTGTGCATACCTCGATTAATTCCAGGAAAACCTCGCACCACCAATAGGTATCAATAACTTTATCCACTACGCTTAGACAGATGGCAAAAAATCATCTAGGGGTCGTTTGATAGGATGTATTAGGGAAAATAGGCAAAATACATAGATTGCCACCTAAACTATGGACCAAATTCCTGTTACACACTTTCTGACAACGAATATTATGTTACACACTCAACGTTTCAAAAGTGTGCCCATGATACACTACTTTTGTAGTTGACCAGTTTCACAAAACATGTCTATGTCACGCACCAATGGAGTTGCGACACGTGTCCTTAACATAAAAAAATACTCAAATTGACAAATCTACTCTCGTCTCCTTCCTTCTTAGGTTTCTGTACGGTTTTAGGATTCAACTTTCTTTTAGTTGCTTTTTTTTTCCAAAGCCACCCTAATCTGTTTCGATTCATTCCAAACATCAGATTTAGCTTCGTGCAAGTGTTTTCATCAAGGACCTTGAACACCCACCTAAATTTGAACATGAAATTTCAAATGTAATTCCGACTACAACCTTCGAAGCTTTGCCGGCAATGGTGATTTGAACATTACTCCATCCAAATCTCATCCCAAACACTTATTATAATTCAATTTTCGATCTCACAACACCACACTTTTTTTATAAAAAATGTTGATTTTAATGTAATAGACTTGAGGCGGGTTCCAGTGTTCGAGCCACTGATAAAATTCTATTTCGAACTCGATTTTGTAGTTGGAATCAATGGATAATAATTGTTTGGGTTGAATTTTGAAAGCAACTGCTGATTTCAAAAGACTTCAATGGCGAGCAAAATACAAAAATAGTTACTGAGTTCTAGGTTGATGCGAATCTGAGATCTAAAACTTATGTGGATTGTTTGCTGTTTGTTATTGATTAAGAACTAATCCTTGAGCATAAAAATATTTAAACGGAGTGATTTCTAGAGGAATTATGAACTTCCATGGTTGAGTTCTTATGACTTCAAAACTGAGTTAAAGTTTTAAGTTTTTTTTGTTTTTTTTTTTAAAACTTTTGGAGTTCACCCGCCCTTTGTTTGTGTATAACACGCGAGTGTCAGTTAAGCAAAGTGGTGTATCATAGACATGCCTTTGAAAGGATAAATGTGTAAGATAATTTTTTCCGTCAAAAAATGTGTAACATGGATTTGGTTTATAGCTCAGGTGGTAACTAATGTATTTTGCCGGGAAAGTAATACATGTATTAATTTTGATATTATTAATCCTTATCCTTGTTTGGTGGTGTTTTTCTACAACTAATACTTGTGTAGGCATATAAATTTTACTTAAATTAAATTCATAAAATAATTTGGACTATATTTTAAATTCAAGATATATTGATCCAAATAAATATTATGGGCTAATATATAAATGAATTAATTATATAGGTCCAATATAAATGGATTAAATAAATAAGTCTAATCCATTGGGCTAGCCCATTTAATTGGGCTAAAGTAATGAGCCCACTTCATTAAGCCCAAGATGTCATCTTCCTAGAGGCCCAGTTTGGTGCCACGTGTCAAATGACGTGGCGCGCCAAGTCAAGCAGAAGAGCCAATAGGATCATACCACGTGTCAAAATGACAAGGCATGCCCAGTCACACTGAAAGGCCAATGAAATTGCGCCACGTGTGCAAGTGACATGTTCTGGCCAATCAAATGCGGTCATGTCACACTTTAATTTGATTGGTCGGAAAGAGTTTGTTCTTATCATGACTCCTCCCTTCCACAACTATAAATAGGGGTCTTCATAACTCAAAAAATACACCAGAAGTTATAACCAGAAGCAAGAAAGAGCTCGTGGATCAAACGCTGCAAATTCCTCCACAAGTTTCAAGCTTCAAGCAATCAAGTTCAAGTTTAAGAAATCAAGTTCAAGTTCAAGAAATCAAGTTCAAGTTCAAGAACGAAGAACAAATCAAGTATTCAAGCTCAAGAACGAAGAACAATTCAAGTATTCGAGATCAAGAACGAAGTCAAATCAAATACAAGGCGTTCAAGATCAATGCTACTTGTTCGTGATAAAATTCGTGACAACAATCAAAGTGTTCGCGATAAATCAAATTCAAATTCAAGATCAAGCTCAAAGGCCCTTGAATTTATACTAGAAAAAGAAGAATCAGAGGATTCATAGAGATTGTAACACTCAAATATTTAAAATAAAATACTACGATTGTCGCGATATTTTTCGGTCTTGATTTTATTTTCTCGACGCAAATTTATTGTCTACAAATTCTGGCATGCCCAGTGGGACAATCTCTACCTCTCATCTTAACTTTTCAATCACTAAAGTCCAAGAACATTGAAATGGCTTCAAAGAAAATCAACTCCGGTTCAACTTCCACCAAGGCTACTAACTCCAGGTTCTATGCTGATGTGGAAAACATCCTCGGTGTTACCTTTGGAAGCTTCGGACCAGTTACGAGGAGCAAAGCAAGCTCTTTAGGACAACAATCACCCCAAGTGCCGTCTGCATCAACCCCTGTTTTCGGATCTTCATCCTCAAAAGGAGCAAGATCTTCCTCAAACGTATCTGAAGGAGGAAGCGATGTTGCTGAAAAGATCAAGAAAACTCTTGCTCTGCTTGACCTCTCCGGCTCCAAGCAATCTGCTGTGAAGGAAGATGATGATGCTTCAAGTGATGGATCATCCCCACTTACACCACATAACGTGAGCCAATCAAGGATCAATCTGTGTGAAAATCCATGCTACTCTCCGTCATCCACGACAATCATGCAGGCCATGGTGACAAACACTTCATCTATGGAGGAGCAGTTGTCAAACTTGACGGAAGCAATCGCTGGCTTGACCAAATGCATGCAAAATCAAGAGGCTAGAATTGACAAGCTAACAGACAGGGTGGGAATCTTGATGGAAGAAGAATCCACCCATGCACCCGGCAAGCTCCCAGAGGTTCTAGAGAGTGACTCTCCTCCAAGACAAGCAGCGTCCACTAAGGCTATCCCTGTCTCATCTGAAGGGATGATTGATAATAGGTGAATTTGACTATAATCACACCTTAAATAATCACCTTCTTGTGTAGTTTTAATGCTAAAAGTGATAACAAAATGCTCTGCTTTTCATGATTTCCAGGTGATATATGTATAAGGAAGGCTAAGGAGAAGTTTTGGAGTCAAAATTGGAGAAAAGAGGCCAAATGTGTAAATTCCCAATGAAGCTACGCCCTGCCAGCCCTTAGGATTCAGAAAAATGGTTTGGCCGCGGTTCTACCGCGACCGTGGCAGAACCGGGGTGGAAGGCAGCTTCAGAACTTTAGAGATTCAGAGAGGGTGATTGGCCGCGGTTCTACCGCGACCGCGGCAGAACTGCGGCAGGCGCAGAAAAGTTCAGGGGTCAAACTGTCAAATACGGGATTTTTAGACCTAAACCCTATTTAAAACATTATACTTCGCCCAAGAGAATGGATTATTGATTATTAGGGTTTCTTAGCAAGAAAAACCATTGTGAGAGAATACTCCAAACATCTTTCTTCTTTACTTTTGACTTTTATGATGAATTCTATCTTAGTTTATTTTTCCATAGCCATAAGTAGCTAAATTCCTTGTCTAAGGTTTTGATGGAACCTATTGGGTGATGAACTTCTTGTTTATGTGAATACAAAGTGCTAGTTTAATCTCTATTTGTTCAGCTTCGTGTTTGTTGTAGTTAATTGACAAGATCCTCAATTAGCTGTGCCTATTTAGTGTGCATAACTTGGAAAAGAGTGCACATTTAGGGTATTTTTGAACAACACCACTCCTAGATTATTAGAAGAATCTATAATTACGGGTTTAAAGGCGGGATTAGGGATAACGAAGCCTTGGGTGTAATCTAAAGTGAATCGAGCTAAATAAAGTAAGCTAGTGTATCTCGGGAGAGTGCAATAGTAAATTACTGTGATTACTCGAGAGAGATTTACGGTAAGATTAGCGTTCATGATTGATAGAGATGTGTTGGTAAATTTGTATGAGCATAAACAGAAGTGATTCCATCAATAAGGGAAATCATTGCCTTAGCTTTTTATCATAATTGTTTACAACCTTATTAGTTTAGTTTACAGCTATTTAGTTACTTGCAAGCGTAGTTGTTAAAGAACATTCAACTGTGATTCAAACATCTGGGAAACTGGTTCTGAAGAGTTTAGTGGGTCTAAAGATAGTGATTGATAGGTTAACTCTCTGTGGATTCGACCCTGGGCGTAATACTCGGGTTATATTTGCAACGTCCGCAGAGTCCTTTTTATAAGGCATAGTTGGGCGTGATCAAATTTTAGCGCCGTTGCCGGGGAGTTAACGGAATTATCAATTTCTATTGACAGAAATACAAAGATTCTTATTGTAGTCAGTTTTCTCTCTACCAAATTTTTTTTGAAAATTTAACGGTTGTTGACTTGGGTGCTCAGGTGTATGCCTAGAAAGTCTACAAGGATTGGAGAACTACTTGAAGGACTCTCAGACCCCGAGCAAACATTCTGGGCATTGAACCGTGCCAACAAAAGAATTAAACAATTCTTACAAACACTCAAAATCGAAATTAACATGGGAGACGTAAACGATCCCAACGGAAACGTCAGGAATGAGCAAGCTGGCTTAAATGCCAGGGAAGGGGCACCTCCTGTGCCTGAGGGTGCATTATATGACTGGCCAACAGCTGACAATTTGGCTACTGCCATTGTTGTGCCCGCAATACAAGATGAATCGTTCCAGATCACAAATAACATGCTACACTTGTTGCAGAACAAGGGACTCTTTTCTGGGACACAAATAGAAGATCCTCAGCAACACTTGAAGAACTTCCTGTCTATATGCAAAACTCAAAGGCAACCCAACGTGACTCCGGAAGCAATCAGGCTATTGTTGTTTCCGTTCTCGGTGATAGGAGCTGCTCAGGTTTGGCTAAACTCGCTCCCCATAAACTCTATAGAAACTTGGGATGAGTTGGCCAAGCAATTTCACAACAAGTTCCACCCGCCCAACCAAACTGCTCAACAAATTGATGAGATTATGAGTTTCAAACAGAAACCAATGGAGACACTACACGAGACATGGGGCAGGTTTAAGGGAATGTTGGTTATGTGTCCCCACCATGGTGTTCCAGAACATGATGTTGGGACAACGGTTTTACATGGGACTGTCAGACAGCATGAAGAATATCGTAGATGCCTCTGCTGGTGGGGCATTGTTGAGCAAGACTTGGAGAGAAGGTCAGAATTTGCTCGACAAGATGGCGCAGAATTCGGGTTGGACAACTAGGAACGCACCTATCACTCCAGTGGTGCACTCAGTGCCTCTCGATCCTTCTAATACAATGGCTGAAAATATGGCGACTCTCTTGACACAAATGAGCATCCTCACCAAAAAGGTGGAGGAATCAGGGCAGAAGCAGCAGGTTCATATAGTAGATACTACCAATGGGGGCTTGTGCACATCTTGCATTAGCCAGCCAATTGGTAATCCTTGGAATATAGAGCATGATCATCATCATCAGCACCCTGAAGATATGAACTATGTGGCTAACTACGGGGGTCAGAGGCAAGGTAATCAGAACTGGGGTCAGCAGACTCAGCAGCAATACAGGCCACCTCAGCCACAGTATAACGCGGAAACATGGGAGGCATGAGACCCCCCAACAACATGGCACCATATCCTAGACCACAGGGGTACAACAATCAGCAACAAGGGTACCACCCACCTCAGCAACAGCAGGGTGGAAGACAGGAAGACGGGTTTGCAAGACTTGAAGCAATGATGCAGCAGGTTATTGAGTCCAACGCTAAGATAAATGAAAGGGTGGATGCACATGATGCAGCTATCAAAAATATTGAGGTACAAGTGGGCCAGATTTCAATGTCACTTAACAATCGTCCTCAAGGGACATTACCTGCAGATACTCAAATCAATCCAAAAGATCAGGGCCCAAAGCAGCTGATGGCGGTGAGTCTCCGGAATGGTAGGGATCTAGATGTTGAGCAAGAGAGAGCTCGAGAAAACATACAGGTTGAGACACTCATTCCAGTGCCCATTGAGCTGGATGAGTCTACGGGATTGACAGAGGTAACAGTCCAGCCCGCACCTGAAGAAAAGAAT